GTGTGTCACCACTGCCCAGCAGCTGAGTTTGTTTTAAGAAGACTTGAGTTGGTCCGTGGTGGCACACGCCTTTAATCCCAGCACTTGGGAGGCAGAGGCAGGCGGATCTCTCTGAGTTCGAGGACAGCCTGGTCTACAAGAGCTAGTTCCAGGACAGGCTCCAAAGCCACAGAGAAACCCTGTCTTGAAAAGCAAAAAAAAAAAAAAAAGACTTGAAAACTCATTTATGGTCAATCCGATTGTCTGTATAAGAAATCTGTGATAACTTCTGAGCATGGTCAGACCTCAGAAGTGGCTGGATATGAGACTAGCGGGTGCTCTGAGTTAAAAGTTTTGTTTACCAACAATAAGTCATCCTAAGGTAATTAGTAAAAGGGGAGGGTCCTTTTGTGGAAAGCCGGAAAGGAAATCTGTGAAGGAATGTGCAAGGCATTTGGAGGAAAATGACCTTCGCTGGCTCTGGGGCTCACAGTCTCAGAAATTCAAGAATCTGGTGTAGCCATGGCAATTCAAATGGTGTGAACTGGTTGTAGAAATAGTAAAACAAAGCATATATATTATGGAAGTTTATATATATATATATATTTATATATATATATATGCATGTGTGTGTTTAAGGAGATCATTCAAATAATAAAGAATGCCTTCTGTTTTTTAATGAAAACATTATTATTGTATGTGTAGGTACCTATGCCACCGTGTGAGCGTGAAGGTCAGAGGACAGTTTTATTGATTGTTCTCTCCTTCCATTTTTATCTTAGCTCTAAAGACTGCATTCAAGTCACCAGGATTCACTGAAAAGCACCTTTATCAACAGTGACCCATCTCTCTCAGGACAGTGTTGTATAAACAAACTTTTACTCACCCTACAGAGGTAACTGACAACAGACCAAACAAAAGACAGACCAAAGTACAGATACCAGCAAAGTCAAGCTTGGAATCAATGAGTTTATTGGGGTCACTTCCAGGAATATGGGTGAGGGGTTACCAACAGGAGCAGAAATAAAGAAAGCTCTGTCACCAAAGCCCACCCTAGCATAGATGACAGCTGCAAACCTGGAGCACACTACCCAGCCTGCAGGTAGAGGGTGTCCTTCCAGGTGGCTCAGTTGGCTGGAGCCTCTTCTAAAAACCTTAGCAAGTATTTTAGGCAGTTTTGTTGCTCTCTCTCTCTCTCTCTCTCTCTCTCTCTCTCTCTCTCCCTCTCTCTCTCTTTTCAGGTAATCTGAGATTGATTTTCAGCATTCTTTACCATTTATATACTCTTGGGAGGGAGGGGCCTAGTGAATCTGATGGGTTTCAGGGACTTCCTGGAGCTATTTTGAGTTGTTTAATTCCTGTCTTAAGGAACTGCCCTGCAGCATCCCATTAGGACAACCTGTTGTTTCACTTGGGAGGCAGAGGCAGGTGGAACTCTGTGAGTTCAAGGCCAGCCTGATCTACAAAGCCAGTTCTAGGGTAGCTTAGGCTGTCACGTAGAGGAACTGTCTTGAAAAACAAACAAACAAAAAAAGGAAGTTTCCCTCAAAAATGCAAGGTTTTAAACTGAGAGAAAATGGCTACACTATGGAAGGGGAGACTATATATACTATTTAATGTGTGGGAAGAAATGGGTGCAGATGTTAAGTAAATACTGGTTGTATTAAACGTTCTAGCCTGGCAGGTTGTGCATGGCTGTGGTCCCGGTATGTGGGAGACTGAGGTAGGAGGATGGAGACTTTAAAGGTCAGCCTGAGCTATATAGTAAGATGCTGTTTGTTTGTTCAAATTTAAAACAGAACAACACTAATAAAAACATCCAGAAGCAAGTTCAGAATTTATTTTTCAACTGTGAGCTCAGCTCAGTCTATCTAAGCACAAAACAAAACTAAGAAACAGAAAGAGGAAAAACTTAACTCAAGATTGAGTTTGGAAATAGGAATGAGAAACAAGAAATGTTCCAGTCGCCCACCCCACCACCACCACCACCACACTTGAGTTTTTGAGGCAGGATTTTTCTGTGTAGCCTTGTCCTAAACTCACAGCCTCTGTCCCCTGAGTGTTGGGATAAAAGGCATATGCCACCACTGCCTGGCTGACATATGTATATATATTTTGCTTTTGTTTTTTGTGAAAGGGTTTCTGTGTAGCTTTGGTGCCTATCCAAAAACTAGCTCTTGTAAACCAGGCTGGCCTTGAACTCACAGAGATCCACTTGCCTCTGCCTCCTGAATGCTGGGATCAAAGGCGTGCACCACCACCGCCAGGCTCTATGCACATTTTAAAGCATCTAAGTGCAAAATGTATAAAATAAAACTCTCTAGAAAATGGTAACAAGGTCTTAAAAATGTTTTATAGTGCAGATTAGCAAGCTTTCAACCTACTTGCTAATAGCCTGAGGAACACCCATGATTATCAATGTCTTTCTCTACAAAGGCTGCAGGGCTAAAAAGAAAAAAGAAAAGGAAAAAGAAGAGCGTTGCTGCCCTCTCAGGGCCTTTGCACTTGTCGCCTTTATAGATATTCCCAATAAAAATGTTACAATAGCAATGGGCTGCGATTAAGGCCTAAGCGAATAACACTTTCGTGCCAGCTGTAAAACTGCGGTTTTCTGGTGACTCTCGCCTTAACTTCAGGGCAACCCTTGTGACCTACAGGATAGGCTGTAATTTGTGCAATGACACTACAGAACACATTACCATCTCATTAAGTTCCCAATACACCCTTTGTGATGTAACTTCAGAGCCCTCCAAGATATATAACCACACATATATAATGGCTGATTGTCAAGACACTCTATGGCTAAAGACACTTACAAATATGGCTATATTTTATGGACACTTAAGTGAGATCTCTCTCTCTCTCTCTCTCTCTCTCTCTCTCTCTCTCTCTCTCTTTTTCCGAGACAGGGTTTCTCTGTAGCTTTGGAGCCTGTCCTGGAACTAGCTCTTGGAGACCAGGCTGGCCTCAAACTCACAGAGATCCGCCCACCTCTGCTTCCTGAGTGCTGGGATTAAAGCCTGCGCCACCACTGCCCAGCAAGTGAGCTCTCTTGAAAAGACACACCTGGGTGTGTCTCATTTCTACCCTTTCCCCCCACAACACCTATTTTTCTACTAACCTTACATCTATGTTTAAAAGCTTTTACTAAATTTACGACTTGTGTCACACTGACTTATTCCAAAATCTTTTTTGTCAGTGACATCAAGAATCCTGGCTTCATCAGAGAGAATTTCTGAAAAGAATTCTTTAGTTTGCTAAACCCAACATGGAATTGTGTTGTGTGTCCAGTTACTGACAGAATCTCTTTGATAACTCAGACTGTTCTCCAACCTCCTTCCTCCTTCAACCTCCCTGTAGTTGGGTCATTAGGTGTGTCTCCACCATAATTGGTTGCAGGGTGTGTAATGGTCCATCCTGTCCCTTTAGGATACAAGCCCTGCCCACCCATCCCCACCCCCTTTTGCAGAGGCAGGTAGAAGATCAGCTTCCAGCCTGAGCTCCTTCCCTTTCCATCTCTCTCCCTTCTCCCCACATCTCCCCTACCCCTCTCTGTTTCTCTTTCTTTCTCTCTGCCTCTCTCTCTGCTCTTCTCCCTTCTCCCCTTGCCCACTTTCTCCTTTCCCTCCATAACCCACTAAATAAATACCCACTTTCTCTGCATGGCGTGCGTAATAGGTCTCTATCTCTCACCTGCTCCCTGCCTGGAACTTGCTGGCTCTTGTGGGCCAGGGCTCCTGGCACTCTGAATGGCCCCCTTTTTACTTTTGCCATAACAGGGTCAAATTTGAAATCATTCACCCCTGCATCCTCCCAAAGCAATATTTTGAAACAGGCTGATTATACTGGAGAAAAAAAATTGTTGATATTGAATTTTGCTTTGCCAAGTGAGCACCCGTTGGAGCTTTTGCTACATCGTGAGCACATTACAGTTTCCAGGAGACTGTTGGAAAGACTCTTGAAGTGGACAGAGACGATGCGTGGATGCCCTGTATTAGGTGCACGTTTCGTTTCTTACATTTTAGCTAGTTTTTCAATCATGCAAGGTTGTTAAAAAAAAAAGGGTTAATGCCCCCATTCGGTCAGAGGTGGCTGCTCCTTTGCTTCTCTGGTCTTTCAGCATTTACTTCGATATCTGACTCCAGGTATTTATTGATAATACTAATCAGGGTCACGCTTCATACACTGGTTATGGTCTAGTGTGAGGTCAGTGCAGGGAAATACAGTTGCTGTTGGTTGCTGATTACAACAGCTGTATAGTCTAGAGAATGGCGTGTCTCATCTCTTCCTCCTGTTTCCCTTCTCATTCCCTTCCCTAGATCTCTGCGTCAATGTTCCCAGAGCCATAGACGGGATGCTGTAACTGACATTTTCAGGGTTGGGACCACATTTCTTACTTATTTTTCTGCAACTGGGACAGCAAGAATCTCTGCATTCGCCGTTGCATTTTTTTTTCTCCTAAGAATTTATCTATATTTTATCTCAAATCACCTTTAGCATGAATCACACCAACTTGTTTCTGAGTTAGTAAAATGACAAAGCCACCATCTAGGGCTGAGATCAGTACAGCTCAGGATAAGAAATACAAATTTATTAAGTAAAAATTATTTTTAAAAAAGGGTTAATGCAAACGATTTTTTGCACATAGAAATAGAAGGGGCCATGGTGGAAAAATCTGTCCAGTACAGACGTAGGTGAAGGGACTCTAGCCAGCTGACCACAGGGACAGTGGGGAGGAGGGTGTGTGCCTGCGTGACCAGTCGCTCAAGGACAACAATAAACTCTATTTTGGTTCAAACACCGTTTTTTGTAAACTTTGTGGAGTCAACGTGTGGTAATGAGACTACTGGGCTGTGGTCTTCAGGGAGGAGATAAAGAAGGCCCAGAGGCAAACAGCTAGGAGAAAGCCCCCGGGGGGGGGTGGGGGTGGCAGGGGCGGGGCAGCCCCAAGGGAGCTCGAGGTAGAGAGGTGGTGGCCGTGGGGGTTGGGGTAAGAGGGTAGAGGCCGACAGGGTGGCAGACGCTGTACCAGCTGAGCCTAAGCATGGAGGCTGAGGCCGCCCCCGGAGCCACAGGTAAGGGGTGCCGCGTGCCCCGAGTAGCTGAGAGAGAGAAGGACGCGCGGCGGCCGGGGACACTAGCCCGCAGAGTGCTGCGCACCTGTCACCATTGCAGCCTGCGGTGTGCAGCAGGGCTGAAGGTCTCCCCGCTTCCTCTGATCACTTCAGTCCCGGGTCAGCGGAAACTGCAGGAGGGACCTCCAGAGTTGAAGCCCTCGAGGGCCCTGAACTGAGTAACTCCTGAGCTGGGTACCCCGTGGGCTGGGTACCCCCTGGGCTGCTCCCCACCCTCCAACACCTGCCTTGGGACCTTGGATCTGGGCTTGCTGGCGTAGTTGGGGAGAGAGCTCCGGGCTAGATTCCCAGTATCAGTCTGGGAAACAGGAATCCCACGGTGGGGAGAATTCCGCACAGCAGCACTTCGTGCCCATTTCCCAGCAAAGAGAACCGGGGGTTGAGGCCTGGGTTGAGAGGGGAAGTGTTGCTGCCGCCCAGGCTTGGTGCCAGCCTCTTTCTAGGCTCCAGGCACACAGCCTACATGCCTCTTCGGCCCAGCGAGCTTTCGGGGGGAACCTGGATTTGAAGATGCATCCTTGAGCTGGGGCCCCCTCTGAGGCCTCAGGTGATGCCATTCCAGACATTTTTGCTAGGCATCCTGGTGACAGGTGACTGGCCCTGTCCCGCGGGCAGCCACCTCGGGCATACAGGCCACTTTCTCTATAGAGTATCATGTTGGGGCGTCTTGGCATTTTGTCGGAAGCCTGTGGCAGCACCGGAAGCCACCAGTTTTTATGGCCTGCCATAACTGCTGCAGTCCGGTTGTTTTTCTTCTATTTTTAGGGGAACAAGATAAGGAGAGAATGTAGCCACTGGCTAATTATATAGATTATTAAAGTTTTAGTTGATCTAGAGATTAAGAAAAAGTTTGTCGTTGATATTGGAAAGGGTGGTATTATTTCTCGTTTGTATTTTTAGTTTTGCCCTAGCTTAGTTTTTTTTTTTTTTTCTAGAAAGTTAGTGTTAAAGGCTTGGATGGAGGGCTGTTTCCAGTTTACGCGTTGGAAAGCTAGAATGAAGGGGGGAGGGGAGGCTTGCCTTTTGATCTTATCTTCCTCATCTACAAAACAGGAGAAGCCCCCTAGGGTCTATTAAGCACAGCTGTTTCTGGTTACACTCTGGTCTCTCCTCCCTCCCTCCGTCCTGGAAGGGAAATGATCGCGAGCTGGAGGGCCTGGGCCTCCCCGATCCTCGGCATTTTAATAGGAAACAGAATAGTAATTTCACCTTCTGGAAAAGTGTATTTGGCCCGAAAGCCGCTTATGGATTTTCCTGTACTCGCTTCGACCTTTGCTGTGGTCTCGATGGTCACCCACGGTTCGGATGACACACAGCAGTCTCGCGCTTGTCATTTCCACGTGTGTTAGCTCCTAATGGGTCGGAGGCTTGCATAGTTGAACTGCTGCCTGAGCTCTGATAGCTGTTTCCAGAAACAGCTTGGGCAAATCTCGGCGACTGGGGAATCCCTTTCTTTTTAGCGGAGAAGCTTGAAAGGAGAAGTTATGCTTTCAGGTAAGGCCACACGCCAGCCTCGGTTTAGCGTCGCCGCCGCTGAAAAATGAGGAAGGACGTGTGACATTCCTGCGGCAGCTGTGCTCTGTGTCTGCAGGAGGATTTGGTTTGGGGGCAGTACCGTCCAAAGGGGATTTGAGGGTACCCCACAATAATTTACATCCTGACATGTCCTAAGTCGCCCCCCACCCCCACCCCCCACCTCCGCATCTATTCTCTCCCTCCTCTCTACCTGTTTTTAATTTCCCTGATGCCAAAACCTTCTTAGGTTCCACTGGGCCATCTGTTGCTGTCATTTTAGCTTAGAACAGAGCTGAAAGAAAGGAGAAAACCAGACACAGCCTGGTCCTGTTACCACCCTCATCTTTTACCTTGAACTTCTTCCCTGTCTGTGAACTAAGGACTGGACCGCCTTATAAGGGATTAATTGGGACCCTGTGTACGCGGGAATTCACAGTTGGTCCTGGTGTCACTAGTAGTAAGCATAGAGAAAGCTATTCATTTTGGTTTTTGAAAAGTTGGATTTTCTGATAATTCGTGCGGCTAATGAAGCAGAGAGGATAATAAAGCATACATAATAATAATATATAAAAATATAAAAATAAAAAAGCAGAGAGGATTGATGGCACAGAGCTAGAAAGCAAACTTGTATGACCCGCTGCAGAAGGGGACAAGAGAGTCGGGACAGGAGGGAAGTGAGTGGGACCTCGGTTTGGAGGCCTTCTCATGTCCTTTTTTTTTGGTTTTTTTGAGACAGGGTGTCTCTGTGGCTTTGGAGCCTGTCCTGGAACTAGCTCTGTAGACCAGGCTGGTCTCGAACTCACAGAGATCCACCTGCCTCTGCCTCCCGAGTGCTGGGATTAAAGGCGTGCGCCGCCACCACCGCCCGGCTCCCATGTCCTTTTTAAAGCACTGAGTATGCCAAAGGCCATGTCTTAGGGTTTATACTGCTGTGAAGAGACACCACGACCACGGCAACTCTTATAAAGGAACACATTTATTTAGGGTGACTCCCTTACAGTTCATAGGTGCAGTCCATTATCATCGTGGCAGGGAACATAGAGGCACGCAGGCAGATGTGCTGCTGGCTACATCCTGATCAGAAGGCGGCAGGAGGGGGCTGTGATACTGAACGAAGCTTAAACTAAAGGGACCTCAAAGCCTGCTCCCACAGATACACGTCCTTCAACAAGGCCACACCCACTTCAGCAAGGCCGCACCTACTTCAGCAAGACCACACCCACTTCAGCGAGGCCACACCTCCCAACAGCGCCACACCCTATGGACTACCACAAGCTGCCAGTTGAGTTATCAGTTTTGAACCCTCCCCAGTCCCTAAGGAGCAGCACCAGGGGGTAAAGAAGCGGTGGAGAGCTGAATACTGAGGGACCTGAGGTGTGTGTGGAGCCAGAGAAGCCCAGAAGTAGGGCTGGAGGGAGGGAGGTGACAGGTCATAGGACTCTAAGGGGCTAGGTGTAGTTTGGAAAGTATTTGCAGAGTCAAGAGAAGGGAAAATGTTAGTGTTAGGTGAAGGTCTCTCTTTTACCACGTCACACCTGGGGATTGAACTCTGGTCACAGGGTTTCAGGGAAGCTGTCCTTATCTTTAATTTTTTTTTTTTTTTGGTTCATTTACTTTTAGGAATACTTTTACATCAGGTGTTGTCTGGAGCCCTTCCCAGGCTTACCTTCACTGACCTTCACATCAGATAGTAAGATTATGTACAAGTGGGGAAACTGAGGCCCAGAGATGAACTAGGGTTATCTTGCCACTAAGTGGCAACAACCCTGGACATTGATATGGAGGTTTCTGGCAGGGTTGGGTCTTTGGCTCAGGTCAGAGCTTTTTCCTACCATGCCTGAAGCCCTGTGTTCTACTCGTAGGACAGCAAGCAAACAGCCAGGACAAAGTAACCCAAGAGACATTGGATTTCCTCAGAAAGCGGAAAATTTCCCTCTAGTCAAGAAAGAGAGGTGGTCCAAGGAGCTGGGAGAGTCAGTTCACCAAGGTGTTTAGAGGTGTTATCATGTTAACACAAATTTAAATCACTCCCGCCTAGTCCTGGTGACTCAGTGTCCTTGGAGGGGATGTGGATTTGGCAGGTTTGGGATCTCAGTTTCTGGGAAACAGAACCTCACTGAGGACAGAGGGACTTTGTGCTCAGCTGTCCTGGAGCACCTCACTGAGGCAGCCAGTGAGAAAGGAAAGAATTTTGGGGTGGGGTGGGAGTAGGGTAGTGTGGATGGACAGTCAAAAGCAGAGGGACAGTCAAAAGCTGCTTGACCGTGAGGATTGTCCTTTGCTTCCTACCCAAGCAGACCTTTGTCTCTGGGCAAGCAGGACCCCTGTGGATCTTTGTGGTTAGTGTCCTGAGCTCCCTGAGGAGTGTGGAGGTAGCAGTTCCTCTTAGGTGTGGGCAGAGACCCTTGTTGGCAATGCATCCAGGAAAAATTCCTGGGTGGGAGTCTCTGCAATCAGGCAGATGTATCAAGCTTGCTGTGTTTTGGACAGAGTGCCCTGGCCAGGGCTCTGGGTTGCCTGACCCCTAGAAGGGCCAGGTTCTCCCAGTGGCTGAGTGTCTGTGCGCCGCCTCTCCTTTTGTGGTTCCTGGTCCCCTGCGGTGTCGATACTCCAACCAGTTCCTGCTCACTCGCCGCTAGACTTTGCAGTAAACGGGACTGATATTTCATGAGACTTGGGCAGGAGATCTAGGTGTCTTGTTGTGGGCCAGTCAGATGGGGTGAATGACCAAGTGGCCAGGATTTACACGGGGCAGTGGGACAGAAGGCTAGCCGGCTGGCCTTCACTTGCACCTGGCTCCTCTAATGTTATTTGTTGTGCAGCTCTTGCAAGTTCCACATGAAGGACTGTAGAAAATGGAAGTGCTTTGCGGTAGAGGAACAAAGGGTTTGTAACAAAAATGGAGGCTCTTGGTCACTGGGCAGTCGCCTTTCAAGGTCGGGGACTGTCAGTAGCAGTTGAAGGTCTGGGCCTCCGAGTACAGTTAATCAGGATGGAACAGTTGTGATTTTGAGATGCTGTGCACACCTGGAACCCCAGTACTCTGTAGGCTGAAGCAAAGGGGTTCTAAGGTCAAGTTCAGCCTGGGCCATGGTGTGACTCCGGCTCAGAAAAAAACAAAAGCCCCCCCCCCCCCCCAAAAAAAATCTAGGCTGCCTGCATGGCTCTTCCAGGGTTAGTGGCTTCTCTTTCTAGAGTTAGCAATCAACTAGCGTGGATGAGGGACCCAAAGCCTTGTGAATTTAAGGCCATTTAAAGTGTGTTTAAATATAGGCATGCCCCGTTGCTATTCTTCTTGTCCCTTCCTCTAGTCTCTTGAACCCTCTCCCATTAAAAGCATTGCATCCGGTCATTCAGTATCCCTAAGCTGGGGCCTCATTTTTTTTCTCCCCACAAGAAAACAGATTTAACCAGTGCCCATTGGT